ATATGAATATAACATGAAATATATGTATAAAAAATATGATTAACTTTACTTCGGTGAAGGTGAATCCTCAGCTATATATAAACTGGAATGATCATGCAAAATGATAGAACACAATTTTACACCCATCGATTTCAGGTTTTTTCCAATTCTTTTTTTCCCTTAATCGCCTGAGGAGGGGCTTTAGTCTCAGTCGTAAGTGGAGTGGACCAAGATTAATAAGGCCCCTTGTTTGGGCCGGCCATGCACATAACATGTTTGTTTTAGGCTTCTATTTTGTCCATTCTAACTTTCTTTTTAAAAGAAAAATGAAATTTAAGTGTAATGAAGAGTTCAGAGTTTTCACTTGTTCATAGCTCGCGAGCCTAATCGAGTTTTTATATTTAAATATATTTTTATTATTTTAATTAATAAAATATTTCGAGTCCGAGTTCGAGTCGCATGAATAATCGAATCGAGTTTATTTTTATATATTAATCGAGCTTAATCGACGAGCTCGAGTAGCTCGAATTCGATCACGAATCGAGCTCGATGAAAATAAAACTCGATCGAGTTCGAACCGAGTATCGAGCCCCGAATTGTGAGTCGAGCTCGAGCTCGAGCTTCTCACTACTCAACTCGACTCAGCTCGATTACACCCCTAGGTGAGCTTAGTATATTTTGGTTATAGTTTTAGATTTAACGGCAATATTTAATTTTTTATCTATAATATATACATGCAGATACACATTTATTTCATACATCTATACATTTATATATAAATATAAATTTTAAAAATTATTATATTTAATATTCTAAACCTTCAAATATCAAATAAATGAAACAAATATAAACTAATAAAAAAGAGAATTTAAAAATTATTTGCGTAAAAATTTTCATGAGAAATTATACAGATCAAACTTCTACGAGGAATAAAATTTTCCATACCAAAATTAGGTTGATATAATTATAATATGAATGAACGTAATTATGCAATTAAATCTCAATACTTAATAATGTGTCGGGTTTTGAATTGCGCACGTCTATTTTCCAATTACAATGTAGGTCAAATAAACCGAAATAGTCTGGATTCAGTTGTTCTTGGTCGATTTTTATAGTCACGTGGCAAATTCATCAAATAAGTTATTTTTATTTTCATAATATTCTTCACAAAAATTGAACTTTAATTGATAAAAAAAAATTCTTCCTCTAATAAACTGAATTAATCTCTTGTGGGTAAAATTAGAATGAGTTGACTCTTGCTTCCATAGAGTAATAGGAAAAGAAAGAAAACCAATAAAACTAAGTGTTGTCAAATTGTCAATCGATGAGCCATATATCTCTAGCTATTTTATTTGTAATTTTTAGTAAAATTTATTTCTCATCTGTTGTAAAAACTCTATAATTAATTATGAAATTATATGCGAAAGTAATTGCAAGGAAAGGAGGCAGATTATGTGCTGGGACGAAGGTAAAATTGCCGACGATGGACTTAATTATATACGGCTAATAATCATCACATATATTGAAAAATTAACTTAACATCGGAGTGCCCTACTGTTGTTTCTCACGCTGTGTTTGTTGACTGCCACCAAGATTAATGAATCAAACTGCATTTTTTAGAAAAAAAAAAAAAAAAGAAGCTTAACATCAATGGCAATTATCAATTTGACAAGACATCTTTCATGACTTAATTACCATATAACTTACCTTGATATTGAAATTGCAATGATCTAATGCTCTTCTCGATTCCTTTTGAAATTATTGTTTTGGACTAAACAAGTTTTGTTCTTTGCATCCGCAAAATAATTTGTTTTGTCAAGGTTTTGCACACATTTAAAAGCCGTAAAGTTAATGGAAAACAGCAGCAGAGCAAAAGCTTACAGTTAATTTGGATTTAATGGGCGAATGGCAATTGAATGGATTTTCCTTGTCCCCCCCACGTTGCGTCTCAACGTTAATGATGTACGATTGTAAGTTTGTGGAATTTTATTTGATGGGAAGGGGTGATGGATAAGAAGAAATTTTCAATTTTGTTTTAAATTGATACTAATTACATAATTTTACTGATTTAATTTATTATAAAAAAAAATAGATCGATGTATAAATGGAGTTTCGAGGTTGGAAATTAAAACATATTCTTATATTCCAATTAATTCATTTGCCAACATATCACAAATGAATTATTTAATTTTAATTTTAGAAATAAAAAATTAATATTTATCAAATTCAAAATTTAACTTAATTAATTAATATAATATTTTTATGAGATTACATTTAGCATATTTGAAATTCTAATTTAGTACCCACAAGTTTTTCTTTTATTATCAAGTTATGGTTTTTTTTAACAAAAAAAAATCTTTAAAAAATTAATTGATTTAAACATATGCACGATTAGTTGAAGGGAAAAGCAGACTCTATTTGATGAAAATCACAATTACTTGCAGATGCTCTATGATATATAAACGTTAAATATTCTGCTATGGTAAGAAACTGAGCATCATATAAAACTATTTATAAAAAATGGGCCAGTCCTTGTAAAAGGATTATTTTGATCCTATTGGGTCGGCCCTGTGCCGACATGGACATAGATTTCGTAGCATTTGTTCATAAGAGATGTGAACCCCCAAGCCAACTTTGCTCTGGTATAGTCAAGCTATTCCATATTCAAATTACGCCATGTCGATATGACATGTTGTACACCTCAAAGAAAAAATAAAGTTTGGTCTGGTTTATTTAAGTTCTTTTGTCATATTGAAAAGTAATGCAAGACATAGGTAAAAAAGTAATGTAAATTTTGAATAAGACGGACGTATCTTGATTTGTACCAATATCTTCTTTTATTCATTTGGGGGCAAGGGTGAATATAGCTAGCTAGGTGCCAAAACAAGATGAGGGGCTAATGTCATCACTAGGCTTGAATAGTGAGAAGCATATAAATCTTTGGTTAAGCACAGAACAGTCAATAATTGTGATAATTAGGCTTTTGATGGTGCTTAAACCTTTCCTGTGCTCCTTAATAATTGCTTAATACCTAATTATCACTTTAATTGACTGTGCCCATTAATGGATCAGTTGTGCCTGTGACCCTCAAATGAACAAATATGGATACATAATCACATATATGGTATTTAGCCTGATTTGGCTCGATCCCTCGATCTTAGCAATGACATGCCACCATCCTTGTGACTGGCCCCTTGCATGAGCTTAGTGAAAGAAGAAGGCGCTGCCAATGAGTTTGTTTCTTTCCAATTATTATATTTTGATAATAAAAATTATGTTTTTAATAAATTAAATTTTAATTTTAATATTTTCAAACATTAAAAATAATTTGTGCATGCAAGTATAATATATTTACAATATTTATATGGTTTATTACTAGTACTATTTGTTAATTGGAATTAGTAACAAATACTTCATTTTTAAACAAATTATTATAAAGGAGGAAAGATTTTTGTACATAAATGAAGCAGATGCACCAAGACATTTATACGATTGCATGATTTGTGGGGTCAGAAACAGAAGGAAGGTGGAGTGTCAGCATCTACCATGTCATTCCACACAGTTTTCTTTTTGCTACACCTCCCATTGGTAGCTAAAATGCCACGTCTGATTAGTGCAATTAGATGAGAAAGACACGTCAACAAGGGGATGAGGTGGGCCATAAGCTTTTTGGGGAGCATTATCAATCCGTTCGACTGGTCTTCCATTCCCAAGTACGGATATCCATCTTTGAAAAAATTTAATTTTTTATCCTGATAAAAAGAAAGATGATATTACATTACGAGGACGAGAATAAAAATAAATATATTTTTAAATTTTTATCGGTGCGAGAATACTGATTGATAATAAAATATTTATTTTGTATTCATGTTTTATATATTTAATAAATAATTTTTTATTAAATAATATAAATTATTATTTTAAATTAATTAAAATTAATATATTTTTATTTTAAAAATATATTAATATATATTTATAAAAAAATTACATAAATATTAAAGATAAAAATAAAAAATAATATTTTTTTTTATTTTTTAAAAAAATATAAGTATAAAGATTATTTATATCCAACAAATACTCACGAGATAAAAATAAAAATAAATTTAAAATATTTATTAAATATAAATATAAAGATAAATATAGCATAAAACTTAAAAAATAACAATAAAAAATACCTTACTAATCTTGTACCTTTCCGGTGAACATTCTTATTCATAAATTGTAATAAGTAAGATTTTGGTTGCTTTGGTCATCGATGTAAGCAATGCAACATATTTATAAGAAGAAAAAATTATATTTGATTTACTTTCCGTCTATAATCTATATTATATACTATTGATTTAGAGAGTTCGAAGTGAGTAATTGTGCATTGATTCCATCCTCACAATCCCTTCTTTGAAGCAAAAAGAACAAGCAATTGCAAAATTTGATAATCTACTAAAAATATGGAATCTTGAAAAACAAGAAAATGTTTAGAAAAGAAAGTCTTGAACATTCTGGGAAGTAATAAAAGGTTAATTCCTTCATAGATTTTTCTATAGGCTTGGGATACCAGCAAATATTGCATGTAAGCCCAAACTCAAATTTTCAATTCACGATCAAACCCCATCAATGGCAATGTGAACTCTGGCATAAACCACAGTCAACCTTATCGTAGCCAACGTGTATATGCCTTCACTATTTTTGAGGTTTGATACATTATTAAATTATAAGCTCAAAAAATAAAGTTTTAATGTTAATTAAATGGTTGGAGAGAGAGAGAGGATATCCAACTCCTTAAATAATCAACGTGTTAATTATTCTTATTGACTAAACCTCCCCCAACTTGCTTTGCTTTTTTCTTCACCAAACAATATTGGATGTTTGTCTTTGCTTTGTTCTTTGGCTTTCAAATCTCATAGCGAAACTGAACTTTGAATTAAAGTTTGAGCAACAATAGCAATTTTTGAATATTACTTTTTTCTTGTTTTCATCTAAAGCTCTACGTTGCATAACTTGAAATGATTGTGGGCTGTCTCGGATGCTGTATTAAGGTAATTCTTGATCATATATGGATATGATATTATGAGCTCTTGCAGGTGAGTGATCAGTTGTTTATATTCTCCACAAAATTTAGAGATCATTCACAGTCGGATTAGGCAATTCAAGTCCTCTGTTGTGGCAAAGAATCATATCTCAATCTTCTAGTTTAGTAGTTACAGATCATTGATAGTTGGTGGAATATAATGGCTAGCTATGTTCAAGCATTGCAAGTTGAAGATGATCATCGGAATATTTATTATTTTGGCCACAGCTTTCCGCTGCAAACTGCTCATTGTTTCCAATCAAGCCACACTGGCAAAACCTGCAAAAGCTTCAAAACCTGGTATATTAAAAAAACCAACCCCAGCAGGTGAATTCGATGTGATCTTACCACTTGCACTGGATGAGATGATATGTTGATATACCATGAAAGATGCGTCAGCTTCGAACAATTACAAAGACGGAACAAGCAAGCTCAAAGCGTTTTATTGCTAAAGGTTCAACTCCGTTGCAGATTTTACGGACACTAAGAAGCATTACATGCACTAAGATAGTAGAGAGATGAGACAACAGCAACTCCCATAAATAGAAAATCCTGTACAAACAATAAAAAGGCAAAACCACTCAAAACCACTCTTCCCATGTTTGTGGTCTAGTTCATGCTAGACACTATCATATATACTAAATAGTGTCCACTGATCTTTTTCTATTTTTATTTTTGATGGTGGAGACCTTTGGGGAGAGTTTTTTTTATTGCTAATAATAATATTATTATAGATATTATATTAAGGGAATTTCCAAAGGTTCTCAGCATCTCCAGCGTTATAGGCGGGATCATGATCAGCAGCAATGTCCAAACGAGGAGGACTAAGAAGCATCCCTTCAGCCATATTGACAAGAACATTAGGCATATCAAAGATCAAATCCTCATCGACGAACTCATCAGCTGTAATCGGTTTCTCAGGCACTATTGGATTGTTTCTAGCCTCATTCCCAAATAAAGCATCGTTTGCAGCCCCTAAAGCTGCTGCTGCAGAGGTTGCAGCTGCCTGGATATCACGTGGGGAAGTTGAGGCAGGCACAGGCAAAGAAGCAGCAGAGTTGGGGAAGTTAAGCTCTGCATCTTGGCCTTTTAGGGCAAGTGCCGCAACATCATAAGCAATAGCTGCCATTTCAGCAGTAGGAAATGTACCGAGCCAGATTCTGTTGGGTTTCCTCGGCTCCCTAATTTCAGACACCCATTTCCCACTAGTCCGACGCCTTACTCCCCTATAAACCGGGTGACGCCCTGTAGCAGCAGCAGCAGCAGAAGCGCCTGCTCCACTACTAGCAGAAGCACTGCCCCCACTGCTGCTAGTGTTAGAACTTTTGTTGGATTTTGAGTAATGCATGGTGACTTGATTCTAAAGAGAAATGGCGGGAAGATTTGGGGTTTGAAGTTGGAGATGAGAGAATCCATTTATGGTGGATGGAAATCTAGGGGTTAAATTCTTGTTGAAGAGAGAACAATTAGATTTCTCAAAGTTTCAAAAGTATTGCAAGTGCAAACCAGTTGTTGATGAACTGCAGTCTGCTGATAGTTGGGGTGTAAGCCAGATATATGTTGGACATCTGGGTTGGACTGCGTTTTTGGCTGCTGAAATAAGCATATAACTGCCTATATCTTAACAGTGACCTTTTTGGGCATTATTCAAACACTCACTTTTGTCCCCCCAAAAATAATAATACTAAAGGTTTGAAAATAATTATTATATTTGAGACAATATGTGGCTTGTAAGTGCAAAAAACTTGTGTTGGGTGCGTGCTCAAATCTAAATGCTAATGCCATGTTTTCCTCCTCAACAATACGCAGCTCTATACCCTTTACAATCATAAAGAAATCAGCTTCAGCAGCTAGTCAACATCAATAGTATAGTGTGTATATATATAGTTGATAACTTTGTTTAATAAGCTACACCTTCTTTTGTCAAGCTAAAAATGAGTTTGGCTTCTGCCTCCATTTGCTAATAGAATTATCTGCAATAGTAGTAAAACTGGAAGCTCTGTCGGTATGAGCTTTGTTCAGTCCAATTAATAATCATCAAATATAATGACAAAATGAAAGAAAGGCATAGATGCAGGTATTTATCAGGTTGATTCAATGTATTGCTGAAAGATGACAAATGATAAGGCCTGTTTATTACTCTGAAAGGTCTAATTCAAATGCTTTAAAAAGTTAAATTAGCTTAGCATCTGCACTCAAAGAAGATTGGAAACTGCAATGATCTTGACCATCAGATTTGTGATGCAAATTCTTTAACATGGTAATAACTTGCTAGACATGGAAAATTAATCTTACAGTAACTTTCCTGAACTTCTTGGGAAATGTTTATACTAGAATTTTTGAAAGCAGATTGTACTTGTGGTGGAGAAAATATGGTTTTCTCATAGGAGTGCAAATTTCTGTCCTGATCATTCCACTTTCTGCTGTCTTTTCACCCATGATTTAGTGCTAAAAACAAGTATTTTCATGATCTAGATAATTAGGCAAAAATAATCCGGACAGTTGTATAACTGGAAAAACTTCTGAGCACCCATCACACCCACTTACCATCGACTGAAAGGAATTGGGGTAAATCATCAGGTCATTTCATTCAAATGAATTTACCTGGAGCACAATTTGTTCAAAACAGTGATTTTGCTTTATTGCCAGACAGAAGGTAAAAATGTTAGGTGGCAAAATTATTTGGCTCAATCAATTCGATAGAGAAATTTTCCTTTAGAAGGACAAGATTTATTCAACCGTAAATACCCAGAAAGCAATTATAGAGGAATCAGGATCTAGATCAAATGATTCATGCATCAATCTTAAAACATGATATTCAGCTGATTTAATATTAAAATCTCAATATCTGCTACTCCTTTATTAAAGAAAAAAAAATGCTGAAGGAGCCTACTCAGACTTAAAAGCACATCTAATTACAACATTACGAAGAGATTTAAGGGCACGAATTTGGTAGCCACGATCGCACCAATGACCAACCAAGGCCGTGCTAACTTACCAAACTGCAAGCAACCAACCTCTAACCAATTGAAAAGTTTAAAAAAATAATTAATAAACGTAATACAACAACGCATTTTTCCTATCCTTTCTAATTCAGGGAAAGTGGGGCGGAAAAAAAATTGATTCCTTGCCCTTTTCATCACTCCGTTTAGGCTTATTCTCTATGAAGAATTCCATTTTTCTACTTCATTATGATGCGTGCTCAAAAGAATCTTTGGAGATTTAGCTCTCAAAAAGTCCCCACTCTAATAAAAAAAAAAAAAGAACCAGAGTATTTTATAATATTAAATACTATATTGTTAAAAAACTGCTGGGGCAAAAAGGAATGAGAAAACTTTAGTTTTAAGAATAAGAAATGAAGGAAAACGAAAGGAAGAAGAAATCCGTGCAAAGAGGGAGTGGAATCAGCTCTCTCCAATCCATTAGCGCTGAATGTTTGTGGGTGTGATTTCTGCTCCCAGTCCCACCACTAAGGGCCAAAAGTCACGCCCTGAAAGAGATGTTGCGCGAACCTGGAAGTGGATAAGGTGAATTTGGAATTCCTGAAGGAGTCGAACTGTAAAGTGTATTGTTTTTTTTTATTTATTTTCATGGTACCGAATAGGAAATTCAGTTGCAAAATTAGTAACTATTATAAACGTTTTGACACTTAAAGACATAAAAAGATATTTGCAACAAATGAGTACTCTTGGATCAATCTGTTAGGAAAATGGGTCCAGCCTCATATAAGTGATTTTGGACCAAATAAAGGTCATGGGCCTTGATCTTTCATTTTACACAGAGCCCTAGCTACTTAATAAAAAAAAGGTGAGATTGTTTTAAGTGTGTGTGTCAAAAACTAAGTAGAGAAAGAAGAAAAACAAGAAAAAGTAGAGAAAAAAAAAAAGGAGAGTTGATTGAACGGAAGTTGATCCGTGATCCGATTGAGTTGGAACCTTGTCAGGAGGTTTATGATTCAGAGTTCTACATTCTGAACGGTGAAGATCGGGTTTGAAGCTCTATAAGAATAAATCCAAGGTGTATTTGTTAAATCACTTATTTGGTGAGATTTCTCTAATTATTTCTCTAGTTGTTAATTAGCTCTAGTTTTAGCTAGAGAAGAACTTTGTATAACTATTATTTGATAGTGAAGATTTTTCTTATGGTCCATGATTTTTTCTCTCTACACTGGAGGGTTATCCACGTAAATCTTAGTGTGCTTTATTTTTCTTGTATTTTTTATTATTGATTGTTGTCTATTGCTTTTGTATTGTTGTGATTATTGCTTCAGGTGCAACAAGTGGTATCAGAGCAATGATTATTTTGAGACATCGATACAGAAGTAACCCGAGATAAAAGTAAATTCTGTTTGAGATTATGAAAGGTGATACAGGTTTCATGATAAAATTGACAGCATCAAATTATTCAATTTGAAAGCCTATGATGGAGGATTATCTATACTGCAAAGATTTGTATGAGCCAGTATTAGGTGATTCGACTAAATCAGTAGATATGAAAGATGAAAGTTGAAAGAAGCTAGGTAGAAAGACGCTGGCTATAATCAGAAAATGGGTTGATATCAGCATGTTTCATCATGTAACGTAGGAGTCAGATGCTCACATTATTTGAAAAAAATTGACAGTATTGTATGAGAGAAAAACATGTATGAATAAAGTTATGCTTGTTAAAAAGCTTACAACTTTACAGTACATGAATGGATGATCTGTTACAGAGTACTTGAGTGATTTTTAAGATATATTTAATTGGATGACTACTATGAAGCTTAAGATAGATGATGAAATGAAGGTGTTATTTTTTTTGTCAGACAACTGGAATACTCTAGTTGTGACTGTTCTTAATTCAACTCCTGATTATAATGTGACATTGGAGATGGTAAAGGATAATATGCTTAATGAAGAAGCAAGGTGAAAAGATGTAGACCCTAAAAATCAAGCTCTGGTCATAGAGAACATGGGTAAAAACATCGACAGAGGTCATGACTCAAAAGGTCATGGTAAGTCTAAACATAGATCCAAGTCTAGAGGTAAAGTGAAGTGTTTCTATTGTGGTAAGACAGGTCATATAAAATGAAACTGTAAAATCTTGAAACAAGAGCTAGAAGATAAGAAAGACAAGAGTTCAGATGATGGCAATGTTACAGTGATGAATTCAGATAGTGATTTAGTTACTTTGATTGTAATCATGTTAGTGATCCCGACATTGAATGGATAGTTGACACAGGAGCGGCATACCATTGTGTTCTTAAGAGAGAGTTGTTTACAACTTACAAATCAGGAGACTTTGATTGTACCAAGATGAGAAACAAGAGTGTGTCACAGATTGTTGGGATTGATGATATTATTGTACAAATTAGTATAGGCTGCATGTTGACTTTGAGGGATGTCAGACACATTCTAGATATGATAATAAACATGCTTGCTATTAATGTCCTTGATAATAAGGGATATGAAAGTCGACAAAAGAATGGATAGTGGAAGCTTCTCAAAGGATCTATGGTAGTTGCAAGGAGAAAATTATGCTACAAAATGTATAAAACATAGATGCAATTGAACGGTAACCAGGTAAATGCCGTTGAAAATGATGTTTCAATAAACTTGTGACACGGGAGGCTGGCACACATGAGTGAAAAGAGGTTACAAGTTTTGGTAAGACAGTCTCTTATTCCTTTGACCAAATGTATGTCTCTCAATTTATGTGATTATTATTTGTTTGGTAAGCATTATAGAGTTTTTTTTCGTAAAAGCTTTAAAAAAAAATAGATTGGAATTAATTTATTGTAACGTATATGGTCCCATTGAGGTTGAGTCATTAGGTGGTATCAGATATTTTATTACTTTTATTGATGATGCTTCACGTAAGACTTGGGTGTATATGTTAAAATACAAAAGTCAGATACTGCAGTATTTTTAAAAATTTCATGCCATGGTTGAAAGGATGACAGGGTTACCCTTGAAATATATTTGAACTGATAATGACGGAAATACATATCTAAAGGCTTTGAAGAGTATTGTTCAAAGCATGAGATTAGGCATGAGATGACAGAACCTAAAATATTGCAGCATAATGGTATAGCTAAAAGAATGAATCGTACCATTGTGAAAAAAATCATATATATATTGAGGATGGCAAAATTACCAAAACCATTCTGGGGTAAAGTAGTTAACACGGCTTGTTATTTACTTAACAGATCACCATCAGTTTCTTTGGGCTTTGACATTCCAGAAAGAGTGTGGACAGAAAAAGATACTTCATACTCTCACTTGAAAGTTTTTTGGTGTAAAGCATTCATGTATGTACTGAAAAAACAGAGATCAAAGCTTGATAGTAAAGCTACACAGTATGCATTTATAGGATATGGTGATGAGAAATTTGATTACAGGGTATGGGATCCAGTAAAGAAAAAAACAATCAAAAGTAGAGATGTGGTCTTTCATGAAAAAAAAATCATAGTAGACCTTGAGAAAAATGAGAAGACTACACGGGTTACTGTTAAGTGTGATGTTTCAACACCAACAAAGATTCTACAGGAAAGAGTCACAGATGATGAAAATGAGCAAGAAACAAAATTTGAAAATATGAATGAGCCAGTCATAGTTGGTGATGACCCAGATGCAA